CAATCTGATTAAAATCACATGTTACATGGCTTCGTTAACTTCGTACTACGCCTGAACATCTGAGTGTGCCGCGGTCAGGGTCACGTTCAGGTGACCTTTATATTTATAAATACTCATTAAATTTTGACCGATCAGAGACCCTCTTTCAAAAGGGCGCTCGGAGATGTAACAAATATGTCGGACATTGATGAGAATGATGCGAAAGTTCTGAAGTTATTTGAGATCGTCTGAAACCCGAACAGAATAAAAATCGGAGCTTTATTAGAGAAGAAAGACTGTATGGTGGTGTTGCCTACGCAATTATTACCCAATGGGTACGTTTTCCTTGGCGTCGTAGAAACGTCAGTTCCCGCCGCCATATTCGTTTTGGAAACTAATCTGTTGATTGATTGATTGATTGATGGGGCTTTACGTCCTTGTTCCGGTTATAACCGAGCCTAGGACAAGAAAAAGAAAAAAAGAAAAAAAAACAAACTAATCTGTTCGATACCCCTCGCTATTTATTAATCAACCATGATATTCCGATTCGCTGGCAAACTTTTACCAGCGCGCCTCTGATTGGTTAATCTAAAGGTCACTTGATCGTGACCCTGACCGCGGCACATTCAGATGTTCAGGCGGAGCCATGTAACAGATGATTTTAATCAGATTGTATTAGGACATGCTTCCGTATAGCCCACAAAAATGATGACGTACAGTGTACCCTGTAAACCATTACAGAGACCAATGACGTAGTTCACAGTATACAGGTTTCATCATCGCCAGATTTCCGCTTACACAGAGGTTGTACACAGTTTAAGGTATAGTCCCAGGTTACAGTTTACAGTTTACGTCTTAAGCCTTCGTTGACTAACCGAAATCAACATCGAACAGTACCTACAGTACGAATTGATAAAGAACAAAAAATGACCAGAAATTCGGGTTTAAAATTAAAGGTTTTGATTAAATATTTCAACTATGATGTGCGTCAATTCAGCTGTATAATGCAGACCCTCCGTTACTTTCAGGAAGGAGCAGAACAGGAACGCCATTGTCAATATCCCTCATAACCAATTAGGGAGTGATAACAAGCCATTTTGGAAATTATCAGATTGTGTTCATGATAATCTCAAATAAACATTTATGAGTAACGCTCCAAATAGCAAAAACAAGAAATCTTTCTATGATTGGATTGGGTTATGTTGGAGGTTTGAAGAACACATCTGTAACGATTTTTGAGATATGTTCTGCAAGTACGCGTACAATTTGTGTATGTTTTCGAAACGTTTTCCATTACAACGTAAAACTTCATGAAATCACAAACGTAAAAATAAGAAAAAACATCTTCATATGATGTAATTGACACATGTGGAACGTTAAAAATCAAATATTTATACAGCTTTTAAGAATTACCATGGAAACGCTAATATACATCAAATGTACATACAGTGGAAATAGTGTAACAGTGACAACTTAAAATTCTTGGTAAACAGACACTTGCAAATGCCAAAAGGCGCACCTTGAGTTTTGCATGTGACCGAATCTCGTGGGATGTTTGAAACTAAACATTTAACGTTTATGCTACCAAAAATGTCCTCATTTTGTGTGCCGAAAGGTTTCCATGTCAACTTGAAATGTCTGAACATCAAAGAGGGGAAAATACCAAAATCACCTTCTGAAGTGTCATTCACTTGTGTTTGAGGTGAGAAGATCAAATCTGTAACGTTTGTTGAGATACGCGCCGGAAGCGAGTGTGCATCGTCGGACAAAACCCGCGTGTACACGTTCATCTCCCGCCAACTTCTTCGATGAATGGTGGAACAAGAGTCGGCATAATCTCAGTATACGGGAAAGTGGTTAATACCAGAAATATCAGTAACAGACAATAATAAATAGCGGAAGTAATAACTACTGTTATATTTACCTCGTCTGCTCGTCCATAGTATTGTCGCTTAAATGTTCGCCAAACTTCCGGTGATCAGGATAGCTTTGGTTCAGCAGAGAAACGATGAGCTGGTTGTGTAAAAGTGAGAGGGTCCCCTAATGGTTATAGCGCTGCCGTTCTACGTGACTCATTTGCTGATCAATAATTTATAGACTTCTAATGAGCTTGATATGACAATGACATGTGTTGGGTTATTATTATACATTCAAGTGTCCGATCATATCATAAAACAAGAAAACGTATCACGATTTTTTGAAGTGGTATATGTATATTATTTTTAAATTACATATGATATGTGTATATGATATTGAGTAATTATAAAAAATATCAGATTTGTTCCATACTTTGTTGGAATGAATTGTGAAGCTGACCAGGCTTGCGCCAACAGAGAACTTTTCATTTTCCCCAGCCTCCCATTATGTTTCTGTACAGACACATTTTCAGCCGACGACAGCATTTCGCGCTGATGTCGACAATAAACTGTTTTTGTTGCGTACGTTAAATATTTATAAAATATGCTGCTAAAACCATACCCGGATAAAACTGACATTGTTTACCTATTCCATGAACAGTGCAATTATATGTTTTATTCATAAAACGAAAACAAAACACAACGAATTTGCAGGAGTCACTGCGCCGCGACAAGATATAATTCGAACTACGCGACTCAATACGTCCGGTTCATCAACACAATGCTTTTCCTTGTGCAGGCTCAGGGAAACGTTTATTGTGCTATTAACAGCTAGGTGCATTTAAGGACATGCCTCCTTGTGTGTGATGTATGCGTGTTCGTATGTATGTGTGCCGTAGACAGGGTATGTTGATGTACAGTGTTAATGCTTCCTAAAGATAGCGATAATATGATGCCAGCATTATAGTGCTACCTCACTGCAATACCATGCTGAAGGCACCCAGCACAGACTTCCATAAAAATAAACCTGCTGTATCTCACTGCATCATTTCGTAATGGGCGGCTAATATGGGACTCGGGTGTTTTTTTTATCTCTTCTGATTAGGAGACGACGTCACAACCGAAACAGACGTGCGGCCATTAGCCCCACTTAAGATCTATATCTATTATTTTCTCACTCCCCTGCCCTTTATTTTTGGTTTTGTCTCCCTAGGCACTGGTCTTTCAAAAAACATCCTCACAGAGACAAACAGAAGTCTTAATTAGGGCCGCGTATCGGAGATCGATAGATAGCGCCCGATAGTATGCAGGGTGTCTGTCCGTCAACACTTTCATTTCAGCACCGTATCTCCAAAAGATAACCCTTTTTTGTAAACTGATAAGGGAATGTAACAGAACATAGACCACGAAGATGTACGTCCATCAACACTCTTGTTTCCAAAGCTATTTCACAACCCAAAAGTCAAACTTTTATGAATTCTGACTTTGTCATCCATGTACTGTGATATGTAGAAATGCAATATGAGTTTAAAACTTTTGTTATATTAAATGACCTTGATCCACTTTCAAGGTCATAAATGTCAAATAGTTTAAAAGCTTTGAAAAATGTCTTCTAAATAACCATAATGCCCATGGCAAGCAGTATGCTAGGGTAAAGAGCCATCGTGTTCGATCAAATGGATGACCTTAACCCACTGTCTGTAAAGGGTATAATGTAACTGGGTAAAATTGATTTGTAGCAGGAGAAAGAGTTATTGTCACGGGGATCAAACCCGGAACCCTCCGAACTATTGACGGACGCTCTCTATTTGAGCTAACTGGTCACTGACCCAGTCCAGTTCCGCTACATTCCTTCTTCCTTTTTTTAAGTCTTCGCCCCCGAAGACAACTATTTACAACCCAAGTTCGGGTATCGCCTTGCTAAGCGTACACCCGATGCTTGAAACAAGGGTTTGCAAGTTCGTCAATTTTGTAACAGGTGATAGAGAAAATGTAACGGCCAGACCGGGTTCGAACCCGGGACCCTCCGAACTCAAGACGGGCGCTCTACTACAGTAATTGAGCTAATGCTGTTTCCTGACTGAAGGCGCTTTATTGTGATCATTTTGATCTTGAACGTTGTCCAGAGTCATTTATTTTGGAAAACCTGATATCCTTTCATCCTTACATGCTAGCACATCCACAAAATAAAGGTTTAAAGAAAACAGCAGCCAGCAAAATCCAGGTAAGGGAAAACGGAATACCCTTTAACAATCTTCTCTCAGACAGATTATAACACTTGTATAACCGACAAGTATTTTTCTTGTCTGCAACATGTTGCAGCTCTATTTTAAAAGTTTGCTTGATAAGAATTTATCAATAATTCCAAAAAAAATGTTTTATTCATGAAATAAAAGCTGTTGACGTGAGGTGATTCCAGTTGTAAAAACTAATCATAAGCTTAGTGACAGATGTCGTATTTCACTGTATATCTTCAGACTCGACCAAAGACCATCTAAATACAGTTCAAAAAGAGACAGGCGGGTCCAGGACCATCAGAAACACTAATTTCCCAAAGTCCTTCAATTTCCCAGACAGACCACGTGTTACTCGTTTGGAAACCGTGTGTCACATAAAAACTACATGTAACGCAAAACCCTCTGACACACGAACTTCTGTCAAGCACTTTTTCTCACACACTTCCTGCGCCACATAAATCCATGTGTCACTCAAACAAAATGTGTCACAAAAACACGTGTCTAACAAATTCCAAAACCCGTAAACGTGTAAAATTACTCTGCACACCTTACTTTAGGTCCAAATATAACTGTATAATAAATGCTAAGGTCCCTGTGATATTCATATGTGTCACAAAACACCATACGTTTAACAAGCAGCTGCGTCAAACAAACTCCGTTTCATCGAAACGCATTT